CCCCCCCCCCCAATAGAAGACAGATGAAGGGAAGAAGGGAAAAGATTAGGATAAAGAATTTTATAACCAGCTTTAGAATGCCCCAAAGATGAATAATGCACACAATACTCAGGAAATTCCTCAAAAACCACTGATTGCACATAACCAGAGTTTACCAGACCAATCCAAACTTTATCAGAAACTGTTTGGACAAATCAATTTCAACCAAAACTCGCGCAACAGAAGGGCGAGAACCAATTGAGGTAGCATTATCAGTTTTCAAAGGTTTGCCAATAATCAAACCAAGGCCATGGAGAATACACGGAGCATACAAATGTGGCCAAAGGTTCGGGAAGGAAATCCAGATTGGAATAACAGGAGATTCGATCTCAACATCCAAGGTAGGAGACCATTTAATCAATTTCATAAAATAGTTATTCACAAAATAAGATCTATGAGCAAAGACCCTACAATAATCCAAATCATTGAAGAGCTTAATCAATACATTCTGCTGGTTAAGAACGGTGATAGAAACTTCACCATTAAGTTTAAAGAAAAAATTCCTAATGGCATCAAGAGAAGGCCTTCGACCAGGAAATTTTCCCACGAGAGCAAATTCAAAAGGGGCAGCCAAGGATTTGATTTCCGTCTACTATATCCACAGAGCTGGCATGCCTATAAACGAAGAAACATTAAGTTCAGGAAAATCAACAGAGGAAGAAGACGAACCAGAAAGAGCATCTTTAAACGAAAGAGACGAAGAACCAAGTAAAAAGCCGGGATCTCTAAGTCGGGAAGGAGCCATAAAAACAGAACCAAAGAATCAAAAGGAAAGAACTTCCCTTAAGCACGATACGCACCAAGCTCGAAAGGCGGAGGTGGCCGCCGGGAGGAGCTAGGGCGATGCCCTAGCCCCCAGAGTGCGAGGGAGAATAAAGAGAGAGAGAGAGAGAGAGAGAGAGAGAGAGAGAGAGAGAGAGATAGAGATAGAGAGAGAAAGAGAGAGAGAGAGAGAGAGAGAGAGAGAATAATAGTGAGAGAGCGAGATATGATAGTTTACTATGGTTGCAAGTTTTGTAACTGAGTTGCAAAGTCCTATAAATGATAAAATCATTAAATACTTTAACTCTTTTGTTGCCTTTTTATACTATTTTTTTGTAGAGTGATAAATATGGTGTATGAGAACGTCTTTTGTTGTAGATTGAACTATCAAATTTGATTGATTGAATGTCTAAAATATTTCATTTATTTAGTATAACTATGACTAATGCCATTTATACTTTTTGTTTATATTAGTCTTAATTATAATAGGCTCCCCGTCATTGCTTTAGGCTAATTATGGCATGTGCACCACTAGTATCCACAATCAACTTCTCAAATAAATTTATGACACTTATTCTAATGGATCATAAGCTCTGAAAATAAACAAAATAAAATAAAATAAGTAAAATGCGCTTCCATTTATAAGTTCAGTTCATAGCTTTGAATCTTGTTGGGGGTCTATTGTGATTGTCTCAGTGGAAGAAAGAAAGAAACTATTTTATATCTTATAGCTCATTTGTTGAAATCTTTATAGATTTTGTTGTCTAAATAGTAGCAAGACAAAAAATCAATTTTAATTTCATATCAAAACATAAATAAAATAAAAGCGAACAAATAAAAAAATAGAAATGGTAACAAATGATCCATACATGTAGCATAATACTTCTTGTGAGAGTTACAAATGATTCATACATGCATGCAGCTTCTCGTAAATTAAAAATTCTTAATTGAAGAAAACAATGAAGTTATTATTATGTTTTAACATTTGTTATTCAATGAAACAAGGAGAAGAAGAAGAGCTGGAAAGGAAATGAATGGCTGCAAAAGAAGCTGCATTAAACCCATACCCCTGCACCAAATTGAGAGTGATTTAATAACCTCTCATATATATCATAAGATGATGCAACTCACAAGTCAATGAAATCTGCTCAATTTGAGGACAAACCCCCAACCAAATTCAACTTGAAAAAAGAAGAAGAATTTTAGCGCATAAATAATGTTCTAATTAAGTTGCTGTAACTATTGTTATTGCTAAATAATAACATGTCATTAAACCTCTTTATAAAGAGGAATTATAGTCTCAATTAAGAAAATAACAACTTCCAGCATACCAAAAATAATTATTTTACAATGATATATTTTTTAAAAGGCTTATTATAGGAGAAGGACGGCAAGGCTAATTAGTGAGCTCCAACACATCCGATTATTTCCTCTTTGAAATACTAAACGATGTTGCGCCAACGTCAAGATTGCAAACCTTTAGAATTAAACTATCAGTGTTAGAATATCTTATTCATAGTTAAAATAATAGCAAAGTAAAAATTCTTATACTTCATAATCAGTGTTAGAATATGTTCAATAAATATTTCATGCTAAGTGACTAACATAAGTATATGCAACACAAATGTATCATCATAGGATATGTAGTCGATCATTAGTTTCAGAAAATGCTCGTGGGAAGGCTATATGCATATGGGCAAATTCTTTCTAAAAAAAATCATACAATGGAAGAGTTTAATATATATGCTAATATAAAATTAATGTCATATATTGCCTTTGACCTCTATAACGAGCATGCAGGTTCAAGATTTACTAGTAGCTTAAGAGCAACACTTCAGAAATTTGGCTAAACTAAAGAAAATAAAAGAAATTAATTGGTCTAAATTAAAGAAAATCAAATTCATACCATAATACCGAAAATAAATATTTTACAATGCTTTATTTTGAAAAGGCTAAGTGAACTAACCGAATAGTCGTGCCAGCTTCAACGTCGAATCTGCAAATCATTAGAATCAAACTATCAATATTAGAATATGCTATCCATAATTAGAGTAGAAGCGATGTTAACATTCTTACACTTGATTTCATATCAAAATAAGTGTTCTTTAATTTATTTGGTTGATTGAAGCCATACAAATTATATTTTGAATATTAATAAAATTATAAATCTCATTGATTTTACTTTCATACATGTATCACTTCCCTAAGATATTAAATCTTGCATCCATCCGTGCCTGTAAATCATTAAAATTAGTATTAGTATTTGTTATCCATACTTAATTAATATAAGTACTAGCAATGTTAAAATTCTTACACTTCATATTCATACTCAGACTATATAAAGATTCGTTATTTAATTTGGTTAATCGATTAGTTAATTAATGGAGGGAGACAAATAGAGCAATACTCGAGCTTCAATTCTTTCCTATTATTTGGTGTCCAAATTAAATTGCTCGGTCAAATGTGATGACTTTCTAATCAGTTTTTGGCCCGCATATTTTTAATAATTAGATGAAAATGCAATAGTTTATTTTAACTACTACCTCAATAAAAAAGATCAACTGCATTCATATATTAAAAACTTTTTTCTATTTATTTAAGTAATATTTATTTATGTCCATATATAATAATATCATCTAAATTTCAAACTATATAAGATAAAAGTAATTTTCAGTTCAAGATTTACTAGTAGCTTAAGAACAACACTTCAGAAATTTGGCTAAACTAAAGAAAATAAAAGAAATTAATTGGGCTAAATTAAAGAAAATCAAAATCATACCATAATACCGAAAATAAATTTTTTTACAATGCTTTATTTTGAAAAGGCTGAGTGAACTAACCGAATAGTCGTGCCAGCTTCAACGTCGAATCTGTAAATCATTAGAATCAAACTATCAGTATTAGAATATGCTATCCATAATTAGAGTAGAAGCGATGTTAACATTCTTACACTTGATTTCATATCAAAATAAGTGTTCTTTAATTGATTAGGTTGATTGAAGCCATACAAATTATTTTAAATGATTTATTAGTAGCTTAAGAATAATACTTCAAAAAATTGGCTAAACAAAAGAAAATAAAAGAAAGTAATTAGGCGAAATTAAAGAAATTCAAATTCACACCTTAATATCAAAAATCAATATTTTTAAATGATTTATTTTGGAGAGGCAAAGTGAACTACAACACAACCTTTCCCAAAATCCGGCGCCAACGCGAGTTCCGACTCTGCAAATCATTAGAACCAAATTATCAGTGTTAGAATATGTTATTCATAGTTAAAATAGTAGCAATGTTAACATACTTACACTTGATTTCATATCAAACTAAGGGTTCTTTAATTAATTTGGTTGATTGAAGCTTTCAAATTATATTTTAAATATTAATAAAATTATAAATCTCATTTCTTTTAAATTCATACATGTATCACATCTCTAAGGAATCTAGTAGTGATATGTGTGCCCGCAAACCACTAGAGTTTGTTATTCACACTTAACTTATATAAGTAGTAACAATGTTAAAATTTTTACACTTCATATTCAGACTATATAAAGATTTGTTAATTGAAGGTTAGAAATTATATTTTGAATTTTAATTAAAATATAGATCTCATTGATTTTTAATTTTCTTTGATGACAATTTAATTTTCAAACTTAAAATTCATACACATACCGTGTAGCCAACGATGTCGTCGTAATCCTGCAAAGCATTAGAATTAGTGTTAGAATTTGTTATTCATAGTTAATTAATATAAGTAGTAACAATGTTTGTTAAAATTCTTACACTTCATATTCAAACTATATATAGAGAGATTCATTAATTAATTTGGCTAATTGGTGCTTACAAAATATATTTTAAATATTAATTAAAATATAGAGCTCATTGATTTTTTTTTAATTCTTAAGGATGATGATTTCATTTGCATACCTTGTCAGAAGAGCAGCCGTCGGAATCCTGCAAACCATTCGAATAAGTGTTAGATATTGTTATTTATAGTTAATTAATATAAGCAATATTAAACTTCTTATCCTTCATAATCATACTATATGAAGATTCATTAATTTATTTGGTTAAGGATGATGATTTTGCATATTTTAGGATGATAGTTTTATTTTAAAGCCTAAAATGATCAGTCAAAGTAAAGTTATTATTTTCTTAAACAAAATTTTTATTGCCATGCAGGCAATCAAATGAATCCCAAGATCCTCATCGAATATATATGAAAAAAAAAAAAAAAAACTTTTAAATATTGATTGATTTTAGAAAAGCTTATTATAGAAAGGAGATAATGAAGGTGCCAACCCAATCCACACGATGCACACCGATATCCGCAGCCAGACCAAAGAAGTTGTTCAAATACTGCAAACAATTAGAAAACTGTTAGAGTTTTTTTATTCAGAATTAATATAAGTAGTGTAGTTAGTAATGTTATAATACTTTTAGAATCTGCTTTTGAGCTTTCTATTTATACATAAAAAATAGATTTAGTAGTATGTAGCATTGTTAAAATTTCCTACACTTTATTTCATATCAAACTAAGGGTTCAATAATTAATTTGGTTTTTAGAAAGTTTATAAATTACATTTTCAGTTTTAAGATTATTAATTTAAATAAGAAAAAATGATATAATACCCCAAAAGTAATTAAATTGTTACCACATATATTGAAATTGAGATGACTAAGTTATATTGAAATAGCTTAATTAATATGACTAAATTATGTATTGGAATGGTTTCTTATACATACCTTATCTTGATAGGTGAAACCATGCCATTGTCACCACTCTCTCATCTCTGGACATTTAATTACACATGCAAAGCCTTCTTCAAATGAAACTCTTCCAAATGAATGTTCAAAGTCTTCGTCTGGATCGGGCTTGAGTCGGTAACAATTATGTAACTTCAAAACTTTAAGAGTGCCAAGAAGATTATTCAAGTTGATCACTGACTTGAGATTCTTACAAAAAGAAATTTTCACTTCTTGAAGCATAGAAAGATGTCTCGAGCTATAAGGAAGTACAATATATTCAAGTCTTTCGCAAGATTCCACTAAAAATTCCACAAGACTTGATGGAAAGGTTGATATTTGTTGCAGGTTTTCACAATGAAATATGTGTAAAGACTTAAGGCTTGAGAAATCACCATTCTTCACAATTGGACGCTCTTTCCATTCAAGCAAACTTTTGTTTGTCATATATCCAGATGAATGAAGACCCACATGGGCTTTTACAGAGTAATTCTCAAGACCATCAGCAGGGGCATTAGAACACCAAAATTCATGCGCCATTCTAATTATCCCATTATTAAGCATAATTTTAAGTGATGTGAGGGATGGTAGCTTAGATAGAGGAAGAAACTTGCATTTGAAATTTCTCAACCTTACATTTGTTAAATTGGAGAAGTGCGGATTTCCAAACCAACTTGGGAAGCTGCTACTATTGTAGCCATCCATGGTTAACTTCTTAAGGTTTGTGTGGGGTTTGAGGCCTTCAAGAATAGCTTTATCATTCCTTGCACATTCATCATATTTACTATATTTCCATATAAGTGTTAGGCTCTCGACATATGGCATACTTTGCAAATTGGCACTCTTTGCATCTTCATGATCGACCACATTTTCAAGCCAACAAAGCTTCAGACTTCTTTGTAAATTTGTTAGGGGTTTCAACCATCTAATACTAGAATATAAGCCTTCTCTTCTTACGTGATACGTAGATGCAACCAATTCATTTCTTACTTCATTAAAATTAAAAGAAATGAGATTTTTACTCCCGAAATATGATTTCGGCACCAGTTCATTATTCATGCTTACAATCATCAAGTGACGTAAGTTGATAAGTCTTCCAATTGCATGGGGTAGCATATTTATATAAGATGATTGGATTCTTATTGTTTGTAACTTGTAGAGGCTACATAATGAGTTCTCTTTCATTTGGATTCTATAGGCATAGATTGAGAGGTAACAGAGTTGTTGTTGGTTACCTATCAAATCTATAAATTCATAGCTGCATTCGAAGAAAGGATTATCAAATCTCAAAACACGCAAGCATCCCAAATGAGAGAATGGAATCTTAGAAAAACATTTTTGAATTTCCACAGAAAAATAATTTGGTCTATCAATGTAAAGTGTTCTTATAGCCCCAAGTAAAAGAACTTGATCAACCTTTGTGTTTTTTATGAAAACATGCTTTGGATCTTTGAGGTTGTTCTTCAATTCATCTAAATTTAATGAAGAACATATCTTATTTCTCATTATAGATTGAGCTAAATCATGCACCATAGCATGCAAAATGAATCCTTTATATTTCGAGCGTTGAAAGAATGACCTTCTCACCAATTCTTCAAAGTATTCAATAGCAATATCTTCCCATAAACTTTTTCTTTCTGTAAACAGAATGTAACCATGGTCGATCCACATTCTTATCAATTCTAGTTTCTTAAAGTAATGATCCTTTGGGAACAGAGACGCATAGAGAAAGCATGGTTTAAGATATGATGGCAAGTGATTGTAGCTTATCCTTAGTGCAGACAAAATAATTTCTTTGGGATCCCATAAATTATTGTTTAACACATCCTTCCATGTCTGCTCCTTAAATTCATTTCATAGAAATCCCCCAATAACTTTTAAAGCCAAAGGTAATCCACCACATTTCTTAGCAATTCTCCTCCCAAGTTGTTCAAAATCAAGTTGTTGACTAAGCTCCCAACCACTGAAAGCATGTCTTTGAAACAATAACCATGACTTCTCTTCATGCAAGCATTCAAGCTGAAGTGGTGGCACTGTTTGCATGATGCGAGCAACTGACATAGATCGAGTTGTTATAATAATTTTTCCCACTCCAATACAAGAAAAGGGAGCTCGTAGGGCCTCCCATATATCTGCTCTCTCATTCCAGACATCATCAAGAATAAGAAGAAATTTTTTATTTAATAGAGCATCCTTGAGTTTGCATTGAAGATAATTTAAGTTATTATTATCATTGTACTGGGATGGATCCACAATGGATGACACAATTTCTTTTGTTATTCTCAGAACATCAAATTGTTCGGAGGCACAAACCCAAACCTTTGGGCTAAAATGTTGGCATACCTCAGGATCATTGTATACAAGTTGAGCAAGTATCGTCTTTCCCACACCCCCCATGCCGACAATGGGAATTACAATGTTCTCCTGCTCATAATGAGACATTAATAATTGAATTATCTTTCTCTATTCCTCCTCTCTTCCAAAAACATCAGATTCAAGCACAAGAGAACTACTCGATGGCCTCTTCATAACATCATTGAAACAAGAACGCCTAGGTGCATCTTCTTCTCTAAGATAAAGTGATTTTCTATCATTTGCAATCTCATCAAATTTTTTATGATCTCAACCCGGCCCCTATCTTTCTTTCTTCTGAACTTCAGTGAACTTTCTCTAAAATATCTATGGACTGATCATGCAAATTTAAGAACTCTTAGGCAACGAGGTGCGGAGCAAGGAGATTTCTCGCATCCGGTAAACTCATTCCTTGACCCGGAAAAGTCCGATCTACGAATACCAGGCTCGCTACCGAGTTCTAGCTCTTTATCCTCCCCGGTAGTAGGCTCGCTGCTAACAAGAGGACAAGTGATGGCTTTCCCTGTACACCTAATAGAGGAAGTGGCAAGCAGGGGCGGGTGGGAAATTCACTCCAGAAGAAGAAGTGAACAAGTGAACATCACTGGCCACTGGGCTTTAGCTTTAGCAGGGATAGATCGAAAAAGGGTCTCTTTTCTCTTTACCTTGGTGTGTGACTAGGAACTAGGAGCAGCTATTGCTATGGAATCCCCAACTGTTAGCTCAGTTGTTAGCGCAAAGGGAGTGAAAGCATCTCGGTAGACCTAATTCCCCTGACAATAATGAACAAGGAGAGAGGAGTAGATCTCAAAGAGAAAATGAACAAAGAATATTCATTTCAGATTGATCTAAATTGGACGAATAAATGGCCTGATGAGCTCATGGCCATGTTGTAAGAAATGGGAATTTTAATTGAACTAGAGGGAGGTAATGACACCTGGTCATAGTTTTCATGCATGATCAACATATCGATAACCATATCCCCCCACTTTCTAATAACTAGAATTTTAATTGGATTTAGGAGAGGGAGACATACCTGGTAACCATAAATATCATCATCATATTCATTATCATCCACTCGTTTCCTCTTCAGAGAAAGCCCTGCTTCAGCTACTTCTGTCATTCCTTTCAATTGGGTTTTGATAACTTGACAATCATACTGATCCAAGACATCTTCAGCATCATAAGCAACATCTCTAAGCTCGCTGAGCCACAGTTGGATGGCCTTGTCATGGATCTCCCTCTCCTCGGCGTCATGAAGGACTGCCTGAATTCTTTGCAGCATCATCGACAATCGTCTCAAATCCTCCATTAATCTTTCTTGGATTGAATTAACTTCGGCAGCAGTTACATCTTCTTGTGTTATGGATGATGAGAAAGATGCATCAAATAAAATAAATGTAGGCATAAACTTAGATAACAAATTCAAGGAAGACAATAGATTGGACATGATTGAAGAAGTGGTTCCAGCCATTTTCAAATCTTAGCTCAAGAATCGATGAAGCTTCAATGTGGATATGAGATGATTTAGAGAAGATGACCAAATGGATTTTGAGGGGTTAGCAGATAACAAGTCAATTCAGAGGTCTTTCAATAGACCTCCAATAATGTTGATGAGAAAAGTAAGCTAAAGCAAAACCATGAAAAGGCCAGCGAAGATATTGACTTCATTTCCATCCAAAATTTTGAAAAAAAAAAAATTAATTTTACAAAATTGAACAATGCTTCAATCTATTGATCTCGATATAATTATCCATTTTGATAATTATTATATTATAAGTTTATGTTAACTATAATAAAAATTTTAATTAAATTTTTTTATGGTATAGTAAAACTATAAATAAAATTAAATATAATACCATATTGATTTATATTCTACACATCCAAATTGTTATTGAAGCCGTCCAACTGAGACTATTGGCGTCAAAACAAGGAGAAATTATTACGTGTGGATATTACTTTCGTCCGGATTCCAATCGGGATAAGCCACATCAGCTTACACAGTTTACAGACAACATGGCCATTTCTAATTGAAGTCCAGATACGGAGTCCGGATTGCGGAGTCCGGACTGCGTCCGAACTCAATCCGGACTCCGCTTATAATAATATCTCAAAAATTAGATACCATTTTGAGCGATTTCAAAACTTTTATTATTATATATTTTAAATCTGTTAGACATTAATTAATTTCTTTTTATGGAGTTAGGAAAAAAAAGTTAAGTATAAGATTTTTAAAATTAATATACCGTGTTAGTTCTTTTTTTATTATTATTTTTAATTTGTCATTTTTTATCATCCATTATACCAATTATTTGAATCAAAACAATTTTCTCTTTCATAATAAATAAGTTAGCTCACAAGTCACTTCAAACTAATACAATTAAGCTCAAAATCAATTAATTATCTCAAGCTAAAATCATAAGTGATACGAAACTCAACTAGGACTCATTTATCTCTATAGACATGTCAATGGAGTCTTGGTTTTTTTTTTTTTTTTTTTTTGAAATTTCATTAATAGTAACAAGTGATAAGTTTTTTTTATGCTTCCAATGACTTTAATAAGTTTTATTCAATAAATATTGATATATCATCAAAAAGTTATCTTGATCGAGCATGAATCTCGAAATAAATTAGCATTGAAAACTTCCAAAAATAAACTATGGGCAGTTTGAACTCAAGCTTCAGCAAACTTAGACCTGGACTGAACGTCTTGAATAGAAGAACCCAATGACATCAAATTTGATCCAATCCAAGCCCAAAAAGGACAAAATCGAGGGCCCAAAACACATTTGGAGGCTTCAAAGCATATATTGAATAACCAAATGACATCCAAATGTGACGTTCTTATAGGTGAATCGAGCACTACAAAAAATCAATTATTTGCGGCAAAAAAATCCATCGAAAATCTCTTCAAATTCATCGCAAATACTAGCTTGTAGCATATTTGCGATGGATTGGTATCTAACAATAAAACGTGCGTCGCAAACTTATTTGTGACTGAGTAAATCCGCCACAAATTTTTGCGGCATATTTTCGACGGGCAATGCGCCACAAATTTGTGATTCATATTCCGCCACAAATTAATGCGAATTGCCTACAAATATGCTGCAGTTTTGTAATGGAATTTTTGTCACAAACGTTGATACTCATATCAACGATTGTGGTGAAAATTTCGCCGCAAATCCGCCGAAAACCCGTAGCAAAAATAATTCCTACAATCATGTATAGAGCTTTCCAGCAGTAACAACAATCCAAACTTTCCAACAGTAACAATAATCCAATAATAACAAATAGTAACATCAATTCAAGCAATAATAAAAGAATATTTATTTAAAGTAACAACAATCCAAACAGTAATAATAATCCAAGTTGCAATAGTTCTTATACTTCAAAAGAAATAAAGTGCAACAAAACCCCTACACATATAATATTTTATCCCTCATTGTATCTTCACACTCAAGCTCAAGCAGTGTAGTAGGCGCAGGTTGATTTCCTCAATTCCGCTCTCTCAATCTCTTAAGATCAACAAATATCTGAGCGGTCATGTCCGCTTGAGCTTTCCGGACATTTTCTAATGATACTAATCAGTTAGCCACCTATTGGCTAACTCGACTGTACTGGCTGTATGCAGAGTAGCTGGAGGTAGCAGAGGATTGTCCCTCATATGCATTGGCCTTTGAGCCTAATCCATACACTCATCCCTTCTGCATTCCTCCTACCTCCAATGACAAAGTGCGGTAATCAGAAATATATGTGGAAACCCCAGAGGATCCCTCGCCAGTTGTAACATGTCTCTCTCGCATACGTGTATACTCATCCTACAAAGAATAACATAATATTAATCATTGTATAATCATCATTTACGATAATTCTTTAAGTATTGTAATCTTATTTACTTACATATGCCTTCCTTGCTAGCTCGTCCTCCCACTGCTGGTCCTCTTGGTGCTTGTGAGTGTGGCTATTCAACTCAACAGCAGTGGGTTCTTTACCAAGCATCTCATTCTACAACATTTTTAGATTAACATGTATAACCAAAGAAATTATTAAAATCTATTAAAGTTCTTACGAATCGCTGTCTCTACTTAGTGTGTTGAACTGAGTCTCCAATATAAAGGGAGCTACCTAGGCCCCTGACATTAGAAGCCCGATTCTGCCTAATCTTCTCCCTCCTCTTTGTATAATATGGGCTTCCCCAAGCACCACTAAGCTCAGCCCAAACACCCTCTCCAATACAAAGAGGTTGCTTGTTCTTCCACCTGATGCGTGTGAATATGTCTCGTAGGAGAGTTGCTCTAAGTTTCTTAAAATTTATTCTGATTTTTAGTAATCAATAGAAATTCGTTGTATGTACTAAATTAGAATACATTATATTTATTTATTAGCTTAATAAAATATGGAGAGATGTTAACAATATTGCAATAAACAAACATCAAACTCCCTAAATCACATATCATGCACTTTCTTTGGGATTTTTATCCAAGAGATATATAGAGTGTCATACCTGCTCTGTATAATATCCTATATCTTTTGTGTGGGTTTCTTTGACAGATAAAAACTACACAAAATATTTAGTTAAACAATATTATTTCTTAAATTTATACATAAAATAAAACAAGCACATTTATGTACATGTCACCCTCAACCTGTATCAACATGCGCCCATCTGCAGTCGGGGCAGTGATAGCCTGCGTGGAAGATTCTGCTACAGTTGTGGTGGAAGGTCCAGCTTCATAGGGCTGTGGGGGTGGTGGACAGAGATAAGTAACAAGGTATTCCTGAGAAGATGGCGGAGGGTAGAATGGGTAAAAGGGAGCTATCTGCATAGGGTATGGTGATGAAAAGTGGGGGTTTGTGGAGTAAAATAGAGGACTCCCAATAGGAAGTGTAGGGAAAGGAGGGTTAGGTAGGGTATGAGTGGTAGGATATGAAGAGGAGGTCCCCTCAGTACTTTCACCCCTACTGGATCGTCCACTAGTATTCATGCGCCTAATAATATTTGTGATCGACCTCCTAGGGGCTCATCACCTCCAAAAGATATTAGAAAAAAAATAAAATAAATAATTAGTTATAAGTTATATATTTATAAAAATATAGAAAATAAGTAGTAACTATTGTTATGCTAACATTTAAAAAGAAAGAACTACTGTATGTGACGTTGACATATAATAAAAGAACTACTATATGTATATTAACATGTAAAATAATACTGGGTGATTCACATTTACCTCTTAACTAGGTTATTCACTTCCATCTAAGGAGACCACATCTTCATTACTAACATCTTCAATATTCTCCTTAATGTCTAAATCTATCTTCTCTAACTACAACTCAGTTTCATTAGCTATAATTTGATCATCTACATCATTAGCAAGCTCTTTAAAGTTTGACATACACTCTTCTTAATGTGCTGTTGGTATTGATGTAGTATTCTCAATAACCCCCTAGGTTTAGTATTGATGACTATAAGCAAATCTTGCTTACCGAGCAGTCTACCAGGATAGTTTGCAAAAAAGACTTGGGTAGCCTTGCTAACAAAGACAAATAGGTCATATTTTTTATATCTTCTACCTTGCTTTACTTCTATAATACAATATTAGTGGATGCACCTTTGTACCTCTATTTTGTATTGGATCAAATCAATCACAATTAAAAAGATACAAGTTTTTCCCTTCACTAGGATATTACAATTGTAGAACTTCCTGTAAGACCTCATAATACTCACAATCATCACCTGTATAAGTATTCCCTTTCACACATACACCATAGTTTTCAATTTTTCTGACCTTTGCAAAAAGCTTTAGTTTGAAATCTGTAACTATTGACAATAAAAATTTGCCAACGTTTTACTTCTTTTATGGGCCCCCAAGTTAGATTCATTATTCCTTGCTCTTACAAATATCTAGCTTCATTGTGGACCTCATTGGTGTAGAAAGTGTTGCTATATTATTATCATTTTCATTTAGATAATTTATTAGATATAAGATTGAAGTATCTTGTTAAAATATATATAATTTCTTTGAACCAATTTGAAATTCATATTCCACTTTTTTCTTGCTCTAATAGTGATGTTGTGGTCAGACAATTAATAAACTTCCTACAAAAGTCTTGAATTTATGGTCTTTTTGTATGAGTCTACTACAAAATGTATGGAATCTTAACTTAAATTTGCTCGAGATATGGATCAACTTCAGCACAATTAAGCAGTGTGTACAATATGGCAACTTTCATCCCTTATTTATCAAATAGTACGTAGTACAAGTGCCTACTGCCTCGAATGATGTATGGTTATGAATTAAAAACTTGCTAATAATATTTGATATGCTATGTTTGCACAAAATTTCCTCTCAAAAAGATACATCTACCAATATTAAATAGGTCCACCAACTCTAGCCTCATATGATAAATACACAGGAAGATGCTCCATGGAGTCAAAAAACCCTAGAGGGAATATTTTCTCAAGCTTGCACAATATGAAAGGAATATTATGCTTAATATCGAACAAAGCTTCTTTATTCAGTTTTGGTTAGCATAAGCCCTTGAAGAATATACTTAGTTCGGTCAAGGGATTTAAGATTGAATATGGAAGAGAACTAAA